CAGAGAAAAAGAGGAAGATCCCCAAAGAGATGGATTGGCAAAATGGCAGCATCAATGGGCTCAAGCGTGACGACAATTGTGAGGTTGGCTAGGACTGGGCAGTGTTTCATTCTGTTGTATATAGGGTCGTTATGAGTCGGTGCTGACTCGATGGCACCTAACAACAACAACATAGCTGTAATTGTATAATGAATAAATTGAACAAGTAAAAGCTACAAGATGCTTAAAAATGACATACTTAAAACATAACTGGGGTCGTTAACAGCAGACCGACAATCCTGTAAGGGTGTTCTGTGTAATACTTCAAAGCCTGTACAATACACTGCAGGAATCCTGTTAGCATAGTGGGCTACGAGTTGGGCTGCTAACCACAGTTTGAATCTATCAGATACTGCACGGGGAAAAGAGGCTTTTAGCTTCCATAAAGATTCCACCTCAGTAACCCTATAAGGGTCAGTGTGAGTTGGAATCTACTTGATGACATACCGCTACCATCAGACAACATGTTGTCCAGCAGATGCAGCGGAAGTGAGAGTTTGAGGAACTTGGAGAGGAGAGAATCTTGAAGACGTGCTCTGATTTGTATCAGACACTTTTACCCTGTGGCATCTGTACTGTGGAAGGCTATGACCAGGGTTGGGGTGGGCCTCAAACGATTGGTTTTCCATTCATGGGATTTGTCAGATTTGGGGTCTGCGCTAAGCTGGATGCTACAAATCTTGGAAACTGAGCACCATCTATCACAGATATTATGAGATTAAAACAAAGGTTAAGAGTTTAAGATTCCCTAAGGGGCTGGGTCTCTGAATCAGGACAAGCTGAAAACCCCTGGAGGAGCAAGGGTAGGTCGGTGGGACGTGAGGGCTGCACCCTAGCTCTGACTCAGCGTGACATCTGATGAGATGAATGTGATCAGCACCCAATCTTGCCTAGTCCAAAAGGTGGAACCTCTGAATGAGAGTCATCTAGAGACTACAGATTTTCATACTGTCTGGCATTTGACACAGTAAGTCAGTATGAAAGGACTACATGACAAAGCCAAGAGAGAAAAACAATCAAATACTCAGAAATATGATTCAGATATTGGAGTTAATAAACAAGAACTTTAAAATAGGTATAATTTAGTCAAAATCAAAAAAAAAATTTTTTTTAAATAGATGAAAAGGTACAGAATTTCAACAGAGAACTGGCATCTATAAAGAATCATATGAAATCTGTCAAACTGAAAGCCAGTATCTTAATGACAGAAGATCAAATCTACAAGCTGGAACATGAATAGAAAACATCCAGAGTGAAGTACAAATGGAGAAAGGATTACAGAAAAATGCACTTAAGAGAATTGTAGGGTGCTCTGAAAAGCTTAGAGGAGACTCAGTGGTTAAGAGCTCAACTAAACGGTCAGCAGCTTGAACCCAGCAGCTGTCCTGCGGGAGAAAGATCTATCCGTCTTCTTCAATGAGGACTGTTGTTGTTAGGTGCTGTGACTCACAACAACAATGTCTACAACAGAAAACCACTGCGCAGAAAGGAATGCAGCCCCAGCCACCTTGATCTCAGCACGTTGCATCTCATGTTGGTCTTCTGACCTGCAGAGCTTTAATAAATATGCGTTCCTTTAAGTCACTAAACTTGTGGTACTTTTTCCCCAACAGCAATAGTAAACTAGCAGAAGGTCTAACATATGTATAATTGAAATCCCAAAAGGAAAAAGAAAATACGAAGCATGCAGTATTTGAAGATACAGTGGCCAAATATTCTCCTAAACTGATAAAAGGCATTGACCCACATAATGTCACATCCAAGAAGCTCTGTGACCTTTAAGAAGAATACAAAGAAAATCACCTCAAGACACCCCGAAAACCAAAGACAACTAAATGACTTTAAGAGCATTTGGAAAGGGGGAGGGGGATGAAAATCATGTTATCCTCAAAGAATCAACAATGAAAGTATTTGTTGACTTTGCAATAGAAGTTATGGAAAACAGAAGAAAAGAGAATGTTTTTCAGACTACTGAAGGAAAACAATTCAAATACAATTCTTTCACACACAAAAAAAATGTTCTCAGAGAAAAATGAAATCGTTTGTTACCTGCACACTTACTCAAAATGACCATTGAACAAGCGGGTTCTTTGATTGTTACCAGGGATGGGAGGGGAAGGAGGAGTCACTGAATGGCTATTTGTTATTGTTGTTAGGTGCCGTTTAGTTGGCTCCAGTCCACAGTGACCCTGTGTATAACATCTGGAAGATGTTTTATTTTTCACTGTTTTTTTTTTTTTTTTTTCAATTTGGGCCTTATTAAGTGATATGGCACTTATAATTTACAGTTAAACAGCATATTTATTGTGCCACATTTAAGACTGAAAGAGTGATACCTATGTGTACATCAAGAATTTCTTATGGATTCAATCTCAGAGAGACTTTCATCTCCCAAGATGACTTTGGCTGGTGCAAATGGTGTAGCAGGAGTATCACAGGCTACCTGTGCCTCTGTCTTCTGTGTCCATCTTCCGTGGACAGTGGGCTCCCTGCTGGTAACCCACGCATTTGTCCAAGTGTCCAGTGCTGCTTACCCAAGTCCTGCCCAGCTGCGGAGTCACTGCTCTGCTCTCTGGCTAGGTGAAACCGATCCTCCTCTCTCCTCTGTACCTACGTGGTACGCAAGTGCTCATTTAAAAGGTAGTACACAGTAAGGGGGGAGTTAGCACAATGTAACAAAGGCAAAGGAAGACAGGTACTCAAGAATAAAAGGGCAGCCATGTGCCCTGGTGTGGCACTGTAGGAT